TCCAAGGTTATTTACAAGTGAAGGTGAAACAGACAAGAAGACAGCCATGAAAAATGATGTGCATGGCCAGAGATAGAATTGCATTTTGGGAACTGAGATTCATTCACTTGCTGCATAAATATTGTTACATTTAGACTCAGATTTTTCCTTCAGACACTCTTCAACAATTGCCTGTCAGGTGAAAAGACTACGTTTGTATTTGTGTTTGTAGGTAAAAATAAAAAGACATGATTGACTTGATTCTTACGTTTATTACTGTAGATATTTTTTTCTTTATATTTGTTTTCAAAAATCTGCACACACAGTTTCATTGCTTAGCAAAAGGCATATGACCTTAAATCCATGTATCATCAGGATAGGTCCTTGCAAGCAGCTTACCAGCTGGCTGGATCTGCCCATGAAGTACAGAGGACATCCAGCCTTCTTTGTAGAGCATCCATGTAAGGCAGCTCAGACACCTCTGTCTCAGAAAACTGCAAGATGAATGCATGTTAAAGTAAAAAAAATTAAAAAATAAAAAAAATAAAAAAAATCATCTACAAAAACCTATCTTAGACCTTAGATGTTCTGGATTTTTTGAGGGTTTGAAAAAAAAAACAACTATTCATAAGAGGTAATAAGTTACAAGAGATTTTCTGTCACGAAACGTTTCGCAAGTTGAAAAATGCTAGTCTTAAGGCTTTTAATACATAAATATTCTGTGGCTTCAGGAAAATGTAGCACATCATTAGTGGCTGAAGACTTAACACTGCACTGCAGACTTCTTAAAACATCTTGGCACAGATCACATCTACAGGCTCATGCAAAATCATAGCAAGATGTTAGCTGTAAAGACATTCCCTCATGCACAGCTCTCTTCTCCTCTAACTGCTGTGATGTTTTTACTGCTACAGCAGATATGCAGAGTATCTTTCTTTGGCCCCTTCACTTACCCAGCCTTGTGACTACATGATACCACCACATTCAGAGGGACAGCAATATTAGGAAAAAGTTGAATGCAATTACAACTGATTGCAGCAACAATGCAGATGAAAACTACAGCACCTGATGACCAGAAGACTCTTGGCAGTCAGGGAAATTTTTCATTGAGCACAGCTCAGTGCTACCAGTTTGTGTCCCCTCAGCCACATCTGTGTACACAACAGAACTAACATAAATCAGGAGCTTCACAGATTTTTTGGATTATTGAAAGAAAGCTATTTTCAGAGACAAGGTGGTCACTGCAGACTGCATGTTTAAAGGTATGTAACAGCTCAGAGAGGAAGTTTAGCACAATAAAATGTGCCTTTAGGTACTCAAAATTTAGTTTTTCCAAGCATGACTCGTGCTCCCCCTGTGGCAGAACCAATGGAGAGGAGATCTAAGCCCACAGATGGCTTGTCAAGATACCTTTGCTGAGGCATTCTCTTTAGTGCCTCTAATTCTGCACTGATATGGATGGTGCCCAGATAACTGGTGTGTGCTTACACTACATATGAAGGGGGGACATAGGAGCACCTCCATGGGCTGTGGATCAGCGGCACAGCTGCAGCAGGCATAGGGATCGTGGTACATTTTGGACAGGTCCTTGATTCAGCAGTATGGGAACCAGGGCCTTGGGAGCATGAGGTCATGCCTCCACTGCTTGGTTGTCTGAAACATGGGGCATGATGGCAAATTCTTTCTCAAATGTGCAGCTCACACTGATCTAGACCTGATGAGCCATCCAAGTGAACCATGCAGATGACAGATGATATCCATGTGCAAATCGTGCCTCAGTGGCATGATGCATTCAAGCATCTGGAGTGGTAGAACTGAATCAAGACTGGTATTTTGCATGTTTGAGGATATTCGCTCGAGAAGCGGGACCCAAAGGAGCAATGTTTCTACTGCATGTGAGTTCTCCACAGCAGAGAACCACTTTGGGCTCACGATGAGGAATACCTGTGTGGCCTCATGTCTTTCACAATAACGTGTTAATAAACCATCTATTTCAAGTATAATGACAGTAAAAGTGAACAAATGCAGCCTACTACATCCCATTGCCACTGTATTTCACCAGCAGAGCAGTTAATCAGTGACACCATGAGGCTAACTTCATAAAATACAGCGAGTTTCATACAAACCGTGTTTCAGACAACATAAACGTGTAATAATTCTACAATATAATTCTATAAAGACCCAGACTACTGTTCTCTTCATTTTCTCCTGAAATAAATATTTAGGCCTCATCACTCTGTTTACATAGATCTTGAAAAATTAAATCAGTGTTTTCAAAATCCGTGGCCTGTATATTGATCTACTTTAAAATCCATTAACATGTTTCTCTTAACAAAAGCTTTAAACATTTTATATAAGCTTCTGCAAGATAAAAAGGAACAGTACCCTATCCCACATTAGAGCAAATTTGTACTTCTGCACTATACTATGGATTTATCTGAAAATGAGCTTATCCCAGCTCCTGGCAATTGTTCAGGAATCCTGAGTTTCCCTGAACTGCAGTGTGGCTGCCTTCTCCCTACCACTGGTGAAGACAGCATGTTGAAGAGGAATAGAAGGTGACTAGCAGACAGCATGCTGGACTCTGGCCTTTACCAGTTGTCAATTCAGCAGTATAGCTTGCAGGAATCATATTTGGGAAAGTTTATTGCAAAAAAGGAGCATCACCTTCTTCACCACCTCCATCTACTCCAGGCTAACATCTGAGGAACTAGCCCAAGACTTTAGAAACATTTAGCCCATAAATTTCCATGAATGACTGTAATTACATTAATTGACAACCACATTCATAGGTCGAGGGCAGCTTCAGTGGAAGTTGAAGATGACAGTATTCAGATGATGTCAGTTGTTTTCAGATGAAGTCAGCTGGCCAGTAACACCGAGTACATGTAAATATTTCACTTGGCTTGTCGGAGCCAAATTCATGACCACTTCAAATCTATTTGAAGCCTGAAGCTTCTACATACATTGGGTTGCTTTCCAACACTTGATTCCTGATTTTAACTAACCTCTCAGGTGGGACTACATGCCATGCAACCGTAACTGATCAAGCGAACATACATGAAGTATAGCGTTACCGCAGTGCCTTTCACAAATGGCCTTGTAGTGCCACCTTCAGACTAAACCAAGACATGTCCTATCGCTCCCACATCTAACAGAATCCTGTAACCATTAAGAAAAGACATCTGAGATTATCAGGTCCTGCTGTTAATCTGTCTCCACCATGCTCACTAAACCATGTCCTTAAGTGCCACATATAAGCATATCTTTGGAGTCATGGCAAAAGGGTCCTGCAGGCCCACTTCACAGGATGAACGGTGGATGACTGAGCACTCTGTGAAGGTGAATCCAAAATATGGATCCGTTTCAGGCTGAATTTTGTTTCCCTGCAATAGGGAAAGGCATTAAAAGCCAATTCCATATCTCCCGAGTCCCAGAGGTCAAGTTGTTTCCTTTGGAGGAAAAAGCTTTTGAAGAATCCCTCATCCTAAGTCCACATCTGAGGAGATCTTGCAGTCCTCTTCTATTTCTAGGGTATCAAACACTAATGTTCTGGTACTCTGGTTAGTAAAAAACTCTAAAAAATCAGATTATCATTTTTAAAGAAACATCAACATGGCCTTTTGGGCAGCAATTTTACTACCACAGCCAATTACAGGAACAATAACTGTGGTGAAACTAATTTGGGGAACAAATGATAGTGTTTAAATGTCTGATCTTCAGACACAATTAGACATGATGTCTCTGTCTTTACATGAGCCAGAAGACAAATGAAATGTTTGGCTTTCAGCTTTCTTTGTTCTCAGACTACAGATGGACACCGGTGAGGTCAGTTGTAGCTATTTATTTTTCGGTTAGTCAGAAGTAATATTTTTATTAAAATACAGCAGCCTGTATTATCAAATCCCTCAAATACCAGCAATATATTCTCCAACCTACTGCAAGCATTCATTATTTGTGAATTTTACTTTGTTCTCAATTTCATCTTCAAAGTAGAAATGCTGTTAGACCCAATACTTTTCACAGTCATAGAATTGTTAAGGTTGGAAGAGGCCACTAAGATTATTTAGTCAAACCACCAACCCATCCCCACCATGCCCACTAACCATGTCCCTCAGTGCCACATCTACACATTTCTTGGACAACTCCAGCAACGGTGACTCCATTAGCAGCTCTATCTTTCCTTTTCCATTCTTCCAACACCCATCTTTTTCTTCAATATTACTAACAGGATACTTACAGAAGGCTACATACTTCTGATGTATTTTATCAGTATGTGCATGTTAGCTAATTGGGAGTGACTGGAGGCAGAGGAGAGTGATGTCTATCAAATATAACTTCCATATAGGTAAGCTTGTTTTGATATCACGAGACTAATTTGTCATTTAGCCTAGAGTACTGTATGTACAGTGCAAGATGGCTAGATGAGCGTGTCCTCTTACTGATACAGCACAATACGTTTCAGGAATCAGGCAAAATCTATCTGTGTTAACCAAGCCTCGGTTTGGTTTTGTCTTTTTTTTCTGTTGCTGTTGCCACTTATCTTTGAATACATGCTGTGTGTGTAATCAACACACACAACATGTGTGTCAGGAATTCTATACTGCTAGGTCAAGCTTCAAGGCTCAGTACTGTTTCTCTACAGCCCAGGAGGCAACAGAGAGGCAGCAGGATTGGGAAGTTAGAATACCAAGGACAAGATTTAAGGGGATGGGAGGGAAGGCTGCGGATGGAGGGGCACAAGGGAACGCGGCTTGGGGTCTGATCGCCTTGATCAAGGAGAGCTGCGAGACACTTGAGAGGAAGGGAATTGCCCTCTCCACCAGCCCGCACTGCCCCGACGAGAACACGCTCCCCGGGCAGCAGCTGTACAGGACGCACCGCAGAGGCGCGCCTCCTCTCGGCGGAACACAACGAGCTGCGCGCGCATGCGCCGCGCCGAGGGTGTGGGAGCGGGGCGCGCATGCGCAGCGGCGGCCGTAGCGGCCGGGGCCAGGGGCGGGGCGGGGCGAGGTGAGGTGGGGCGGCGGTGAGGGGTGTGCGTTCGGTGCTGCGGGGTTGCGAGTCTCTGCCCGGCGGCTCGCTTCTCGGGCACGGTTGCGGGAGCGGAGCGAGCGAGGTTTGCTACTCGCGAAATGTCGCAGGCTGCCATGTCCGAGACCTACGGTAGGAGCTGGGGGTGGGGCCGTGCGAACGGACCGTGACGGGAAGCGGGGGGCAGCGGGTGCGGCCCCGCGCAGGGAGGGAGCACGGCCCCTTGTCGGGGGAACGGCGGCCCCGAGGAGGAGGTTGGGGGTAAAGCGAGGGCTCTGTAGGTGGGCAGGGCTGGCGTTGGCCCGCAGCGGTAGCCTGCGTGCCTCTTTGCCCTAACTTTGCTCCAGCCGGCTGAGCGCGCTTGGATCGCCTCGGCTTTCCTCCTCTTGGCGTAGCGCGGCCGGTGACATCTTGCAGAACGGCAGTGCTCTCACGCGTAGAGGCTGCAGAGCCTCTGTGCCGGGGCACTAGGGTGGGTGAGAACAGCCTCGAACGCGGTGTGCTGGGTGTGTGCCTTCGTCTCCTCCGTCCTCAGCAGCAGTTCTGACTTCGACGTGTGTCTCGTGTTGGGAGAGCGCGGTCCTGGAAATAAATAGCTTCCATAGGTGCAGTACAGTGAGGTGCAATACCGCTGTTGTCTGTGAGACAGCCTGCGTTGCCAGCAGGAGTTCTTATCGGTATGAAAACTGTTGGCTTCTGCTGCGCAAGCCTGTTTGCTTTCAGTTTCCACCAGTGGCTGTTTTTTCACAGTGGTCAATGCTTTGGTGTACAGTAAGCATAAGGAACTGTTGGGCAAAATGAGGCAAGAACATGAGGCAGCCCTTGAAGTGTAAGCATTGAGATCCTGCTTCTGTTTTACATGCTTGAAACGTGTAGGCAGAAGCTGGACTAGAGGCGTGCCTTGTAGATCTAGATAAGAGTTTGGACCAACTTCTTGTAGTCTGACTTCACGTGATCAAGAACTGGCATCGTTTCTGCTATGCTTGCATTGGAATTGGTGGTTTTCCAAGCAATCAGATGGATCTGCAACCAGAGAAGGTGGAAAGTGTTCTAGCTGTACCCTTTAGCCTGCTTGCTATTGCAGCAGCATCGTATAGATGATTGCATTTTAAAACAAGTACACTTCAGACATTTTTTGCATTGGTTCAGTGATGCAGAATAGTAATTGTAAGCCCACTCTAACTGTTGATGCTTTCTAATTGGTTCAGTGTTCTAGAAACTATGGCCTTAACGCTGAAGTTCTGCAGTTGTTGTGAGTTATTCCTTTTATTCATTTTCTGTTTGGTGTATTTTTCTTCCTAGTTCCAATGTTTATTCTTTTTGTACACAATTAAGCTATTAAGAAATCAAGATTTAAAGTAGATGGAAAAATATAAATCACCTTATGGCATGACGTAGATGTTAACAATGGTTATGTTATCTCTGATCGCAGGAGTAACCAGTATCTTAACTTTGCAGTGTCCTGTTGGTGCCCTGGAAAGAGGATGAGAGCAGGGCAAGCATATAGGATGTAAGATTCCTCGACCTCCAACTATTTTAATATTAATAGTTCCCAGAGCCAACTATAGTTTCTCTTGATAAACCCTCAGCAGCATTTTCTTCAGTGAACTCACCCAATCTTTTCTCGAATGCAAATTTGTGTTCGTGGCACCCTTTGACAGGGAGCTCCCTATGTAAATGATCTGTTCTGTGAAAGGCCTTCTCCTCATTTTTTGAGTTCTACTTGATGGCCAGTTTTACTTGATGACCTTAGCTCTTCTGCTGGAACAGTGTGGTATTTATCTCCATCTCCCCTCTTTGTGATTTCACTCATGGTTGCATAAACCTTATTGATGGAAAGATGAAATGCATTTGCATAAAACAACACAAGTTAAATTGACTCCATTATTGCCATTAAAAGTTTTTAGTCTTTTGAATGTTATATTCCACAGTTCAGCTAGGGGTTTATTTGAAATTATGAGACATTGCAGTCTGTTTGCTAGCTGTCAGTGCTAGCTACATGTAAATGCTGTATTTCTTTTTTTTTTTCTTGTTAACAGCAGAATAACTACACATAGCACTTTTACTTAGATTCTTCTAATTATGATAATATTTTGGCTCTGTATTTTTCAGACTATAGACTGTATTTTTCCAACAGCTATTTAGAATAAACTTACTTAGGCGAACTCTTCCTTTTCAGGATACATTTGGGTATTAGAAATATTTGGCAAGCCTTTGAGCTTTCTTAGAATTACTTGGGAATTCCTAATGCTAGGGATGGAGGTTCTTTCTTTTTTTTTTCCTAAGAAATATTTTTCTGCTTAATGAAACTGCTTTACCATGACCAATCATTTTGCTTTACTCTCAGGATTTGAAAACTGTACTTTGCTCAATTCCATTCTTTCTGGAAAATCCTTACAGGGCTTTCTGTTTAATAGCAGTATTGTAAGTTATCTGCAGTAGAAGTTATAATCCCACAATTAAGGGTGCTTCTCCTTTCTCTTTCCATTGCCAGTTGCATTTAAGAAAAAAAAAAAAAAAAAAAAAAAAAAAAAGAGTTTTCTTAATGAGTTGAATTTCATTGTGTATTTGATTAATATTTTTCTGAGGCTTTGGGCTTGATGTTTTCCAGGCTCCTTGGAGTATCTTCAAGTGTATGAATGATCTCTGAGCATTGATCTTGTTCTTGAGCAAGGTGGGAGGTGGATGAAACACTGCCACGTTTTCAAGCCTTGAACCCGCTGCCCACCGATTGTAATACTTGTAGAAATAGGGAATGAGAAGTTGTAACTGGATGAGATATGAGTGTGAATTTAATTTCATCTGCAACTTTTTGCTACTGGTGGAGCATCAAGGGCTGGAGACGTGTGGAACTTGAGTGCCAGTTTCTACAGCAGATAGTGAAATGGACTGATACGAAACACAGTGTTTATTCAAATTGTAATGGCTGCATCACACAACTATTATAAATTTACTTGATTTCACTGGAAAAAAAAAAAGTCTTCTAAGTCCAAGTTTCACCATACAAACATCCGATTATTCACTGCAAATGTTTCACCAAAATAGTACTCTCTCTTCTCTGTTGTGTTGTTAGCATGGGAGAGATGACTCAGTTTGCTCTGGGAAGCAATATTATGATAGACTGAATAATTAATAGAAATGGTGTTTGGGATGTTGTCCTTCAGTGTGTAGTTTTCCATTCTCTCTGTGTTTTCAGCTCGGTTTGGAGTGGTAACATAAGTCTGACAGTACTCAGTTGAGATATAGACTGGAACAAGCTGGGATTTCTACTGTAGTACAACTACAATAGAATGATCCAATACAATCTTAAAAAATAATAATAATAATAATCTAAAGCATGCAGCTTGTAACAGCGGAAACAAATCTCTTAATTTTCCAGTGAGTAACTCATGTTTCCTGTGATACAGTGTCTGTAGCATATATGGATAGTTACTACAGGACATGTGCAGAGTTTGTCCTGCTTCCCAGTGTAAAATGCATCCATTTTCCCATTATGATAAATATACATTGATTTTTAAAATGGCTTGTCCTTAACTGATAAATGCAAAACCACCTTTTAGTTTCAAATGGTGTAAGGCTAGAAGACTGCATTATCTTTGGAAAAATAGTACATTTCACTCAATCTCTTCAGTTCCTACTTCCTCTCTTTTTTCCTTGAATATCTGCTACTGCCAGTCTGATCATGAGTCTTGTTGGAATTTGTTGTTGGAATGCGTAAGCTGCCTGTCCACTGAAATGTGTTTCTTTTTTGTCTAGATAATTTGATTCATGCTTTTCTCCCAGTCCTGCCTTTCCTGCTCCCCATATATACTTAGCAAATGTATTTTCATTTATCACCTTGGTCTTCAGTTTATTTCATAGTTTCTTTTATTGCCTAGAGGGCATGGCTTTTTTGTTCATCAGGAAGCAGAGCTTCCTCCTTTTAAGCAGTCTTTATTCAGATAAAGAGCCAAGTTGAGCCAAGTTTATCTGTGCTACCTGTTGATCTTAATTGCTATTGCTAGAGAAAGGAGTAAAGAGAGATAGCCCTTCTTTTCTCTCATTTAGAGGCAGCATATTGTCAGTAGGATTGCTTCAGAGCACTCCTCCCTTATGCAGGCTTCTACAACATAAAAGGAAAGTTGTTTTTGTTTTTAATGACATGAATGAAATACTGCTGATCCTTTGGAAACTAATGAATGTATGTTCTACTCTTTATCAAGGATTTGGTAGAAGACTGATCTATGAAAGAGGATGTAATTTGGTCGATTTCCCCCACCCCACCCTCACTCCCCCCCCCTTCTGTATTAAGTAGAATACAGGAAACAATTCATGCTACATTTTGAAGACTGAGCTGCAGTGGTTTGTTCAATTTTCTTCCCTCTGCTGGAATCGATTTCAGTCAAAGGAGGAGGTTGGACATCCTGGGGTGGTTTCCACACCATCTGGTTTTGATCTGCCATGGTAGTTGAGTCAAAGCCCACGATTGTCTCCCTTCTCCTCCCCCCTCAGCCCTTTCCTCCCCCTGCACACAGCAGTTCAGCTGCTGGTGCTTCTTTGGGGTGGAGCCACAGCGTTTCTGATTGCTTTTCACCTGTGCTGGGGAACAGGGATCTGTCCCATTGCCTTGCTCCATGTCACCCCTACCCAGTGTGGGACCAGGTGATGCATGTAGCTTACCGAAGGCAGTAAGTTGATTCTTTATGAAATCCTATTTTCCTAAACAGCCCAGATATGCTATCTTTAATCTCTTTATGCTTTTTCTAGTGCATATCTTGCAGCCCTTTTTCTTTTTGGCATGATGTTTAATTTTCTTTTTAAATCCTTTCTCTGTATAAAGACATTATTTACAGGCAAAGTACTTTAACTTATCCAGATCTTCATAGTAGCCAGAATGATAGCAAGCATTTTTAACATTGCAATGATGTTCCTTTTCAGCTTCTCAACGAAGGAGGAACAACGGAGTTCATAAGAAAAACTTCTCTAGGGTGACAGCCTTAGTGACTAACTGGAATGTTAGAGCTCAGAGCTTCTTTGTCAATTGGAGAGGGAGAAAAAAAAACAAAACAAAACTATGAAATGAGTTAACTCCTCTGGGAGAGGAGTTCTTTCAGTCTGTCTCATCCAGTTTCAGAGCCGTGCTAAATTTTTTTAGGTGCCCTTACAGTTGAAAGAGAAGATATTTCTTCTGAATCAAACAATGAAGACATAAAAAACACTACCAATAATGCTTGTCGTTACCTTGCAAAATGACACCATAAGAAATACATTCTGGAATAGTAAACTGAAAAACTATTCTCTCTCTTCTTATCTGCTATATTTCTTCATTGAGAGCGTTTCTAGATTCATAGCCCAGCACGTCAACTCAATCAATATGGGTACTTGTGACTTTCGGTATTGGCACATGCCTTTTCCTGTCCTTGTTTCGTGGTGATTAAATGTACACTGTATTCCATGTTTCCTGAAACACGTTGTCTGATGCTTCTGGATCAACTATTAACGTAAGCTGAACTGAGAGCCTTGTGCTCTTTCAAGCGATTTATGTAAAGTCATTTCAAGTGATAGAAGTACACTGTGAACGTGACTGCAGAGTGTTAATTTCCTTGCTCCACAAGTTTGCATGCTCTGAAAGGTTGCTGCTTTCCCCAGTGCAAAAAGATTTTCATTTTTATAGAAGCTTTGGCTGTTTCCATTCTATGAGTGATTAAAACAGACTTCCTTACAATTCACGTGGTTACTGTATGAAACTGCAGTTTCAAGTTTCACCTTAGAACACTTGTTTGTTTTTTTTGGCAGATGGAAGCATTTTTTGTCTACCAGGTAAGCAGATAATGAATAATCATCTATCCAAATATTTATCATAGAAGAGATTCCCACTTAAAGTTGCCTGGTGCAATAGAATCTTAATGAGTTAGGAGTCTACCTGTAAAGTGCTGTTGTGATATCAATGTAAAGGAATTAATATGAAGTCTCCAATATTACTCTTGCCCTCAGAGCAAAATATGAAGCGCCTCAAATCAAAGCACCTCAGGAAAAATACACTGCAGTTCTCAGTCTGTTCCCTATCAGTCCCTGACAGTGACACCGTTGTCTCAGAATTTCTTGCTGGCTGGCAGCCTGGCCCCACAGAATGGAGCATCTTGTTAAATGTGCTGCTGGACGTGGATTGTAAAATATGCCTTTATTCAACCACATTTAACAACCAGGGCCTAAAATGACAGAGAAATTAGAGTAGGAATAGAGTGCTGATGTGATGTGTCTCCTGTTGTAGTTTGATGGTAGCTGATAAATTGTATTAGTCCATGGGAGGGGGAAAAAAAAAAGGTATATTTGGTTTACTTTTTTTCACTTGTTCTTGACAAGAAATTCTGGCAAGCATCATTTACCAAACATGTAGGAGAACCAGTTTTAACTGGGTTTCAAATTTATTTTTGGAAAAGCTGCAGAGACAAGACAACAGTATTCTACTTGCAGATGTCTCAGAACATTTTGCTTTTTGAGGAACTCTTTGGAAGTGATAAAACCAGTGAGATTACACACACCCACATTGGTTAAATATATGGGAAGGTGCACAAAGTAGCTCACTGTTTGGTCCATAAAAGAGAAACTTTCACAGAGGATTTTTTTTCTTAACCAAATGCTTAAGGATTATTTATGACTTACATGCATTTCATGCTAACAGTGGAGATTTGGTAGTCTGAAGGATGATATATTCTGAGCCTCAGTGTGTTTTGCAATTGAAATGATGTAAGGGGTCCTTCTGTACAGGAGATAATAGGCAGTATTTTAAAACCTGAACCAAAATCTCTTTTCTTGGTCTAGAAAGCACAAATGTCTGAGTGGGGGCAGGAAGAACGATAGGAGTTTGGAACAGAATGTCTAGAGACTGTAAATGACTCTGTTTGTGAGTGAGAAAAGGCAATCTCTTCTTTCAGAATAGAGTCCATTCCAAAGTCTGTTACAGTGTTTGAAACAAAAAATCATGTAAAGATGATATGTAAAAATAATACTTCATTTTAAAGATAACATCTGAAGGACAGCTGAAAACAAAGGATGTTGGACATTCCTGGATTCATACCCCTCACTTTTGCTGTTGAATTTTCAACAGTGGGAAGCTGCTTACCATATTAAGAATATAAGATACTCTTATTTTTATTTAGTTAAGTTTTCATAGCATCATAGAATCTTGAGCAACCTGGTCTAGAGGGAGGTGTCCCTGCCTGCAGCAGGGGGTTGTGGACTATGTGATCTTAAATGTCTCTTCCAACCCAAACCATTCTATTTGGTGTTCCTGCTACAGCAGGGTGATTGGACTAGATGATCTTTTGAAGTCCCTTCCTATCCTTGACATTCTGAGATTCTGTGATGCTCTAATTCCTTCATAAAGGAAAATGATTGGGCAGACTTCTTTGTGCATGTTAAATTCCACTTACGAAGCCAGAGGTTCAAACAAAATTCTCATGAAGTAATGAATCAGTGCTTTGACTGAGTGTATTCCTGTTTTTATTCTGCCATCCTATGAACTGGTATTTACTGTAATGCATTTGACAGCTTTGAACATTGTTAATGAAATTAATGCTAGGTTTTTATTTTTGTTTGTATTGCAAGCTTAATCCTTTTCATTGCATGCTTATCTGTTGTCTTCTGGAGACCTACTGTGTTTATAATAGAAATGATGCAATGAAGTTGTAAAGATGACTGTAAAAAGGATGCTGTTGGTAGAAAAATAAATAGTTGGGAAAGTAATTGTAAGCATTGTTATCATAGTTTATCAGTGCAAATCTTTGAGAATGATAAGACGAGGAAGCTTTCTTCGATGGTTAGCAAAACTGGAAAGGTAGTATCAAAGCAGTGTCTGTAACAAGACAAAAGAGATTTTGAGTATTGCCATTACTAAATGAACGCTGATGTCAATGGCACATAAGTAGATGAAGTGCCAGAAATAACTTCCTTAATTTGCCATATGGAAGAAACACAAAAGCAGAGATTCCAGAATAAAAAAGCCTTGCCAGTAAATTTGTAGAGAACACATTCCAGTTTTTTTCAGATTATACAAGTGTTAAAAGGTCTGTTGGGTTTTGTTGGAGCTGATGTTGTTATAGAGGGCAATTGTACTGACTGTAGCTAATAGTTTATTTACCCATAAAGTAGGTTTCTGGTAGAAAAGTCAGCCAGATGCCTTCTGATTCCATCATTTTCATCTCCGGTTGTCATTCTTGTATCTCCATAAACAAGTAACTCTTTGCTCTCACTTTCTAATATCACTAAAAGTTAGCAATCTTTTTTTTTTTTAATCTTCAGATTTCCTGTTTAAGTTCTTGGTCATAGGAAATGCTGGGACTGGAAAATCCTGTTTACTACACCAATTTATTGAAAAGAAATGTAAGTATACGTGAGCGCAGCAAGGGTTCCCTAAAGGGTTATCTTCCTCAGCCAAACTGTAATTCTCTTGAGAAACAGCTCTGAGATTATGATGTATAATCAAGAAACTTACTGCTGAGAATATGTGCAGTAGTGTCTTAACATGAAAAAACAAACATATTTTGCATATTCATAGAAAAGACTGGCATTCTGTGCTCTGCTTTTCCTTCTTCTTTTTAAATTGCCGTGCAGTATTAGAAAACAAAATTGAAGAAAATGTTGTTTTTCCATCAGCCGTAATAATATGATTAAGGCAGGCCATTCTAGTAATAATTTTTAATTCAGTGGGATGTTCAAAGCTTGTAAGAAATCTTTTTTCTGCATGATGGCAATAGCTGCACTGATTTTGTTTGTTCAGGTAGTAGTTTGTCATTTGAACACTGGAAAATTTTAATTGCACCTACGTTGGATTTAATGAAAACTACTTATTCACTCCAAATGTTCTCCAAATAATAAATCTTTTTTCATCTTTTTAGTTAAAGACGATTCAAATCATACCATAGGAGTGGAATTTGGTTCAAAGATCATAAATGTTGGTGGTAAATACGTGAAATTGCAGATATGGGATACAGCAGGACAAGAGAGATTCAGGTACCCTTTTCAGCCGTTTTATTAAATGTTGTTTCTTGTTAAATCATTACTTTGGATGTTGGGTATTATCTATTCCTGCTTAAAAGCAGGCATATATCAAATTTGGCAAAGAAGGTATGTGTTTGAGTATATTTACAATCAAATATTATCTCTCAGAGGCTTTTTTTATTGGCTGGGGGTGGGTCTGTTTTGCTTGTCTACGGAGTATAGAGAGCTACCAATGGTTAACAAGGGTGAGCGCAGTGGTAAAAGTCTGGGGAATGGACTGCAGTCCAAATACTTGTCCTCTAACAGGCAAAGCCAGGCAGTGATATGCAGTAAGATGTCTCCAGTCTGTTGGCTAGATACCATGAGATTGTGAGGGGCTTGTTCTAGAGGCTCATAAAAATGATGTTCCTTTAAGTTGAATGCATTTACAGATGTGCAGGTTATTTTCTTTGGGTACTTTTTATAATCTATGTGAGCCTTTTGTTTTTAAGATTAACTTAGCATACTTAGCAGTCTGTTTTTAATTCATACTCTACCTTTTGAAGAATGCTTTGTGTTCTTTGCTTCCTTTTTAAGGAGTCTTAAGTTGTTCAATGGCATTTACTTCACTCTCCCTTTACTGCTGAAAGATGAAGCATAACTTAACTGTGGCATGAAAGCTGAGCAATTACCACCAGCAGCTCCCAGTTCTGTGTCAGGCCGTATTTCAAATGTATCTTCAGCAGGACATGGATCAGAATAGACTTTCAGAAATCACTGTATGACTGCATTCCTTGAAAACTTGTCATCTTGTCATCGAAAGCCTAGTTATAAGTTTTTGCTGCTTCATTATGATTAAAATCACTTTTTTATTTTTATTAAAAAAAAAAAAGGTAATTGTTTTTATAATACAGTAGATACATGAAACCTAGGCTTTAAACAAAATATACAACAAAAATGTATATCTATTTGTCAATTATATTTCAGGTCTGTAACAAGAAGTTACTATAGAGGTGCTGCAGGTGCTTTACTTGTCTATGATATAACCAGGTAAGAAAACTAGCTCCTCTTTGGTTTATTGGCTGTCAGAAACAATTAATGAATAACTAGAATCCCTCCCATGTATCTAATCCTCTGACAGAGAATAGACAAAAAAAAAAGAAATACAAAATGTATTGCTATTTTAGTGCATATCTAAGCCTTGGAACTTGCTTACATGACATATTATTTTAAACTGAGACGGGAGGTTTGGGTTAGATATTAGGAGGAAGTTTTTCACCCAGAGGGTGGTGACGCACTGGAACAGGTTGCCCAAGGAGGCTGTGGATGCCCCATCTCTGGAGGCATTCAAGGCCAGGCTGGATGTGGCTCTGGGCAGCCTGGTCTGGTGGTTGGTGACCTTGCACAGGTAAGGGGTTGAAGCTGGATGACCATTGTGGTCCTTTTCAACCCAGGCCATTCTGTGATTCTATGATTATGAAAGCCATAAATGTACAAAGGCTCAGGGGGTTAGACAAATATGTAGGAATTGGCCCACCAGTAGATGTAATCATGCTAGACTGTGTGCAGCCAGTGGCTCAGGAAGTCTGTTAACAACAGCTGTTAGGAACTGAATAAACTGAGAAAAGATCACTGTGGGTCTTGTTACTGTGTTTTTGATCTGTATTTTGCATTCATAGTTTTCCAAAGAGATAACCAAACCTCTGAACTGGTCTGTGTTTCTCATGTCCTTGAAAACAAATAACCTGACACTGGTGGTATGCAACAGAAATTTAGAGCAGTCTTAAGCCACATGTAATATAGCCACTTGTAAGGTAGCACGCGTCTGTGGAAGCTGCTTATTAGTGTGCTGGTGTAACAGGTCATCATCTGGAGAAGCTAGCTTTACCCATGTGTTCTGTAACTATGGCCCAAAAATATTTTAATCTTGTTTGTTTGCTGTGGGTTTTTTGTTTGCTTTAATGTTGTAGGCAGCCAGTAGAATACCTTACCATTGCACACTTCTGCTTTTTTTTTTCTTTTTCTGGTCCTGATAGACTAATGCTTATCAGATAAGCTTTGTGTTGGTTAATGATGACTCGCTGTATGTATTGCTTTTTTTCCTGTGAGTGTACTGTTGTACTGTTTTCCCTTGAGCACTCTTCAAAATCAGTGTTTTGTGCTTAAGGTCAGCTGAGCTCATTTGTCAGTTGGTCTTCTTGATGGTTTTAGCTTTGCCCACCACTATAATGTGAGCAGGATAAATGCCTGTGATGTTTTTGGTCTTAAAACAAATGTGATACTTCAGGCCTGCATTTCTCCATTAGCATAGCTAATTCTTATAATACCATCTGGAACTTAATTATTGAGTTCCATATTAATAACTCATCACTATTCCTAAATTTCGTGCACAGAAAGCTGAAACTAGATTAGCACTTCAAATTTTAGCCTTTCACATTAACAAAGTATCTTGTTATTTATTTTTATTCCAATCTGTGGGCATTTTGCATCAATAAGAAGTAAGCTACTACTTTTCAAAGGCTACGTGTAGCCAAATGCACCATGAGCTATATGTGTGTTTAATCATCTGTTCCCCTTTTGGGGAACAGTGGGTTGCCACTCCAAAACATCTTAGTGATGCTTCAGAAGAGATCTCGCTTTCAAAGTTCTTAGGAGCTGCAGCTGGGATTTCATGTGTTTCAGCTCATGGGTCCTGGTGTCTAGATGATAATTTATTAATCAGAATGACTATCTAATGAAAGGCATTAAGGCAGTGGCGGAGCAGAACATTCATAAGCACTGTGAGAAGTGAGCTGAGCAGTACTGCCTTCTATAGGCTCTAGCAGCAGACTACACAGTGTTTCTCGACTTCAGAGGGAGAAGCTGCTGGGAAGAAATTGTCTGGGTTTGGTTGTGATTGATTTGATTTTGCTTTTTAAGAACTTTACCCTTCTTGTTTCTTGAAGGAACTTGGTACTCTCCCCAGTTTGTTGTTGGTGTAATTGAGGTGTGTAGGTAACGTGTCTGACTAGTACAGTCTTGTGGCTTGGCAATAATGTAGGTTTGCCTTCAAAAGTTTTAGTTCAGTGATCTGCTTGCTAGAAATGAGCATTTTCTAACATGGGGTTTTTTCATCACAGCCGTGAAACCTACAATGCTCTCACTAATTGGCTGACAGATGCAAGAATGTTAGCAAGTCAAAATATTGTGATAATACTGTGTGGAAACAAAAAAGATCTTGATGCAGATCGTGAAGTAACCTTTCTAGAAGCATCCCGGTTTGCACAAGAAAATGGTAAGTAGTAAAAAAATCTTCATGTAATGCTGAAAGATGGTTAGTACTTAAAACAGGGTTTTTTTGTTGTTTTTGGGTGTGGGGTTTTTTTTTTTTTTTTTGCTACTATTGAATACTTTGGTCTGCTGTATCTGTTCTCTTTTCTGAGGGAGACATGAGGACAGTGCCTGTAATAAGAACCGCATGTACTATTTGTCCTGCTATTGATGATTCTTCCATTCAGAGCTGCTACTTAAAGAATATCTTCATGTGGTGTCATATTCCTTAGAGTATGTAAGATGATTTTTCTTGTTACCTTGCAACCAAGGAGCTGGAGAGAAAATACAGAGTAAGGTTTCCTGGTTTTTAGCATCTTGCAGGCTTTCCAGATCATAGTCAAGATGGAGTGGGGTTGGCTGCAGTTGAAAGTAACCAACTCGTGGTAAACAAAGTTCAGTACATGGTGTGGATCCAGAAAACTGATCTGTAGTGTCCAAAATTTTCAGTCTGTGGAGGCATGTTTCTGTAGCAGCTGACGCCAGTCTGACCTTTGTGCTGCAGTCCTACTATCAGTAAAGTCTCTCTTTAGTTTTATAAATTGATTATCGGGTCTTTTCTACCATGTATTTTACTGTTGTTGCTGGCTTTTCTCTTGCAAATAGCTTTCTGTTAACAGGAGCCTATATGAAGTACTTTGTTTTCATGTGCTGTTTTTGCATGTGCAGCCCAGGTAATTGTGTTTAGAGTCTTAATTTTTATATTTCTGAAGTTTTAGAGGAAGTTTTTGTGTGTCTAGAAGTTTTGCTTTCATGAAGTAACTGTTTCAGGACCATGCTATTGGAGGATAGCTCTCAACAAGTCTAAGAAAAAAACGTTTCTATTAATTTTCATGCTTGATTTGCTGTATCAGATGTTCCAGGCTTGCTTTGAGATTGTTTTTCTGGTGTCCAATGCAGAGCTGATGTTTTTGGAAACAAGCGCACTGACGGGGGAAAATGTTGAGGAGGCCTTTGTACAGTGTGCAAGAAAAATACTCAATAAAATTGAATCAGGTAAACAGAAATTAAAATTACTTTAACCTTTTTTTTTTTTCCTAGAAACTTAAAGCATGTGTGTAAGTATCAACATCTAAAGTTATTTAGTTGTGGTAATATAACCCATTTGTTTTATAGCTGTATGTTTTAACAGGAATGAACATTCAGGTAAGATCTGTGTACCTAAAAGGGGGAAGAGGTGATTGTGGATGTACAATATTTACCTTAGTAGTGAGCTCAGCATGTAGGTTGCATGTTCTGTGGATTATGTGCATACAACAGTGAAGGCTGACATTAGACAGCTTTAACAAAGCAGAAGAAGAACATGATGTAAGGGCATAACTTTTAATTCTGCTTCTCATTTACTGCAGGCAACATGATCAAGAGAATTTGAACACTTAACACAAAATACCAGGGATGTTTCCTAGCAACTGTGTTTCTCTGATGTGACCTTCCTGGCCTTAGCTGAAGTCATTTTTCTTTCTGCAGATCTAGAAATATGCCAGAAATTTCTCAGTGCAAGTGGGCAAGCTTTTGTCAGAAATGGGCTCTGATGTGTTTGTGTCACTAGAGCTAATCTGTTATTCTGATTTTTTTCTCATTTTTTCTTACTCATTTTGAATGCCAAACAAAAAAAAAAGTAGTACAATATTTTCATAGAAATTTCCTCATTACTGCATCAAAATCAATGTCAAACAGCCTCCTTCATTTTAAACAAACAATAGGAAAACCCCAACAAAATAAAAAAAGAAAAGCAAAAACAACAAAAAGCAGCATTTGGCTAGTTAGTATTCCCATAACTGATATAAAGAGGCATTACCATAACAGAAATAAGTTCAGCTTTCTGTAAGCTGCTTGTCCTGTCTCTTCTATCAGCAGTCATGCACTGAATCATGAAAAAATTGAGTCTGGAGAGAACTACTGGAGCTCTCTGGTCCAGCCTCCTGTTCTAGATTCAGCTTCAAAGTGAAAGCAAGTTGCCCACAGCATATTGAAGCACACTGTGAGATGCTCAGAGACTGGAGGTTCCACGGCCCCTTTGGACAATGTGTTTCAATGCTGACTGAAGTATACAGTGACATTTTCATTTCCTTTGTGTTCAGAAATTCTCCTTGTGCAGGCTGTGTTTCTTACCCCTTCTTTTATTATTTCTGTGTGCAGTCTGGTTCTAGTCTTCACATCCATAAGACCATGCAATCATAGATATAGATTCCCTCTTAGCCTTCTCTCTTCCAGGCTAAGCAAACACAGCTCCCTTAGCTTCTTTCTGAACATACTGAGCTTGAGCCTGCAGCTGCCACAGCAGTCTTTTCCTGGACTCTCTCCAGTTCTGGTTCTTTGTTACTGGGGAATACAAAAATGAACACAGGGTTCTAGATGTTCTGGATGATTCTGTGTGGATTTGAGCGTGCCAGGTAGAGCAAAATAATCACTTCCATCAGCCTGCTGGCCACAGTCATGCTGTAACAGCCCTGTGCATTATTTACCCTTTGTCACAAGTGCATGCTGTATCTCGTGGTCACTTTGTCTGTTAAGATCCCTGGTTCTTTTTTTGCAGAGTTGCTACCTAAGTGGTTGGAAGTAGTACAGGTCCCAGGCCTGTACCTGTGCTTGGCCTTGTTCTGTCACAGATAAAAGGCTCTGTGTGTGTAGTTGTTGAATTTCACAAGATTCCTGCTGTCCTCTAGCTTACCCATGGTATTTTCTGAATAGTAGCCCTACCCTCAGCTGGTGTCACGCGCAGCATGTTGTCATCTCCTAACTCACAGAGGGACTAGATATATGCAGTGAACCTGAAGAACTCATCTGAATTATTCAGGGGTACTTTTTATTTTAACTAGTTGTTTCTAATTTTGGCCACTTCTCCTTGGATCTGTAGGGAAATTTCTGAAGGCATAGGGTGTGGAGCAAACCAGTTACAACAGTGGACAACAGAAGCAGGGAAGGCTGAAGCCATTTCTTCTTGGGCAGTGCTTTGTGGACTCTGAGATTGATCCATTTTTGTTTGGCTTGGTGCATTTGCAGTGCTTCTTTCCTTACAAAGTAGAATCTGAAAGCATGTGTCTCAACATGAAACAGTATTTGCAGAGCACATTTTGGGTATTTCCTTTTTAAGAAGTAGTTAGTGGAAAAACACTTACTGTTGCAGCCTAGCTCAGCAATGAGCTGCTTTGTCATTATCATTAAGGACCCACAGCTGAAATTACAGGATAAAATGGTATAGTTTTGAAGTTGCCTAAAAATAAACAGAATTGCATTAGATCTCTCCATAACCAGAGCAGAGTGCCATTACATATTTGTTTCTGATACTGTCATTTAAATTGGTATGTATTATTTGCAAGTAATCTATCTCCTGTGACCATGTTGTTTCTTTTCAGGAGAATTAGATCCAGAAAGAATGGGCTCAGGTATACAGTATGGAGATGCTGCCTTGAGACAGCTGAGGTCACCACGAAGAGCACAAGCACAAAGTGCTCAGGAATGTGGGTGTTAAAGAAGCAAAACACAAAATCCAAAATACTTACTTCAGATACAGAAGGTAAGATGACAGAAATCTTGGAGCGTTTCATAAGTTACCATATTTGAGAAATATGCCGTATCAAGTGCTTGGCTTTTTCACAGCCTGCAAAGCACTGTGGAATCTAGTGAAATAATGCACAGTAGAATTAATTTCTTTGTTGTTTGTTTCTGTACTTCTATTGTCTGTCCACCAAAGCACAAGCAGTGCTCCTTCTGAAATATTGATGAATTTTTACTGAGTAATACTGTGGATAACACTTTGGAATTCAGTATCTCTGAAATGCATTAAAGTTCAAGTAGTTATCTAATGCACTGTAGGAAAAAATTGATAATTTCCATAGTATAATGAACAAATGTTATTAGAAACAAGAATTTATAAAATGTATGGGGCATTATCTTATCCAAAACTCTTATATAGCTTTTTTTTTTTTTTTTTTTTAAATGCAATCTCACTAAATATTGAGACTGGAAAATGAAAGATAATACTGGATTTCAGACTTCCACTGACATCTGGGCCTAAAACTGGCCCAGAGTGATTCTGATTCCTGTCTACCTCAAGTGGAAATATCAACTGTGGAACAGCAATATTTGCTGCTTAGGCAGTGTTGTTATCAACAGCATCTCCTCTTGGGCTACTGCAGCCTGTGGTGTAGGTGTAGTGCCCTAGAGATGCTGAACAGAGCAAAGGAATAATCTGTTCCTCACTTCAGCATAATAGAGGAAGAGGGCTGAAAGATGTAAAGCCTGATCCCAAGAAGAGTTTGATGGTTAGCCTTTCTTATAAAGAGTTGTTCTTAGATATGTTTCAATATTCAGGGATATTATTAAGGGCTGTTAGGGCAGCCCTGCCCCCCTCAGTCACTAAAGAAGGTAATTAAGAAATTGCTGTGTAATTAAGTTATTTTAACAACTTTCAGTCTTAGTTTCCTAACTTGAGGGCTGCAATATCAAATGAAACTATTACTGGAAGTATAGTTACTACATATTTTTTGCCTGTTTCATTTTTATCAGTTTGGACAGTGTCCACCAGCATTATTCAGACTGCCAGCAGAAGCTTTGCAGAATGTTAAATAAAGCAGCGTTAAATTATATGTTCTCATATTTTGTTCTCTGTTCTGAGAGCTTAGCTCCCAATTAGATCTCAGAATTTTAAATAATGCATAAGAATCCTTGAACTGCTTTCCTGCCTTTTTTTCTCCTCATACAGCAGCTTTCTTCAACTGAAAAACTGCTATAAAAGGGCATTCATTTAGTCCAATTATATATGGCTCTACAGCTGTCTATTGATCTTTATTTCAGCAATTGAGTTTCCAAGATTGATCAGATGTAAATAAACAGTGGAGTTCTTGTGTATTTTTCAGCTGTCCATACAAATGGTGTTTGAAGAAATAAAGCTTGAAAGCTGTGCAGTTTTGAAAACCATCTTTCTGCTGTGTACAGCCAGAGCAGACCACTGCTGACAGAGAGGTGCATCATGTGGTGTGGAGCAGGAATGTTCATGTGGCACAAGCCTGCAAAGGGAACCTGCTGACTCAGTGGGAAGTGTTAAAGTAATACCTGTATGTAAACGTTTTCCATTACCTATTTTTATTTCACCTTTAGTTGAAAGCGTTACTATATACTGTAAATAATGTAACAGTAAATTTACAAAGCATGATATATATATATATATATATATGATGATAGAACATTGCACTACAACAGTTTAATATTTTATTTTTTTATTGTAGAAACTAAAAGTTAACTGAAGTAGACTTTGTCATGTTTGTTGCATAATAGTTTATATTTATGCCATGAATTATAAAACCACTGGCAGTGTCAGTGAGGGATGGCTGTTTTTCTCCCCCTACACTTCCCCCCCATTTCTTTTGCCACGTTCTGACAATTTGTTTCTGTGACTGGTTCTCAATATGGGGTTAGTTTTGGTTGCTTGCTTTGGGCAGTGCATCAAGTTGGAAAAGTCGTTTTTATTGAAGTTCACCTGTTTTAACAAAATTCTTGTATATCATCTTTTGAAGCACTTTTATCAAACTGTAAAAGTTCAGGAAAACATACTTATGTTGAGAACGTAAGTCTCTCAAATGGCTGTTAACTGATGTGGATTTTGAAACTTTTTTCTTGGTTCTGACGTTTTGTATAGCACTGGTGTCATGAAGATAGTATGTATGTGTGAACAGAATTGAGCATCTTCTGTGTGTTTTGTACATCTGGTGTTGGGCACGGGCTTCCGGAAACCTGTCACAGTAGGAGTTCTATTAACCTGTGATTGCTAACTAAGCAATCACCTGTAGGAAAATTGATTTCTGCTGAAATATGCCTTGTGAGGTACAAACTGAACCCAGGTTGGTTCTTCTAAAGTATCCCGAATGTATGATTTAGAATACTGGTATCTTAAACATTTATAAAATATAATTAGGAACTTGGATGGTAAAGGTAGACTTCAAAATCAGGAACTGAAGAGTCTGTCTTGCTGGAGTCCAACCTTTTGAACTTCTGGGGAAAATATGGTACGTAACGCTGTCAACATTGCTTCCAGAAGACTCACATGAGGGAAGAAAGAAAAAGATGCTGGTGATGTAGTTCATTTTTCCTGTGAAACTCATCGGGGAAACATCAGCCTTAGTGCTGACTTCATTTCTCATTCAAGCAATTCATACTTCCCTTCTGCCTTCTTATATGGCAAGAAGGAGATACGGGGTGAGGGCTAGGAGTTCTGTTGTCATTGCTCAGCTGGAGACAGAATAGACTGGCAGAGGGCTTAAGCGTGAGGACAGAACCATGAGTAGTATGTATGATCAGGTAAGAGATACGGCTTTCACGTTGTCAGATAAGGAGCTGTGGAAAGTGTTTCTGGAGCTATCTGAGCTCAAACTGTTGTCACAAGGGAAATGATAGTTCAGTTGTATGGATATAAATTGCTAGTGATGATTTTACTTAGTTCCTTATGTAATTAGAAATTGGAAGTCTTTTTGGAAATGCAAGCGAATGCAAGCAAACACAGAAAATAGTTTATCTCATCAGAAAACAGTATGAAAATTCCAAGGAAAAACATGCTTTATTTTCTATATCTGAGTATTTTTAAGGGACACTTGTCAGGTGCATATTTAAAAACTAAATCAGAAAACTGAACTGCTGCTGTGACTTAGAGGGCAGTTAAAGCACACAAGCGAACCAAGGATGATACAGAGAAGACGGTATTCCATCTTTCATGGAGTTAGAATTGTGTGGAAAAAATAATTGTCCTGACATTTTTGTTTCAAATGGATGTTTGTCTTAAAATGATATACCTTGGCCATCTCTGAAATAAAAATATGAAATAATTAACCCTAGACTTTTCCAGTACACAGTAAGTTTTTAAAAGACTGTAGAGTCTGAAGTCTTGTTAGAGCTTTCTGCTGTGTCCTGTGTTATTTAGGATTTAGATTTGTTGCATAACTAATAATAATTCTTCCTAAGGCATATTCTCTTCTTGATAAAATTCAGTGTTTTGTTGTTTTTTTTCTTTGTGAGGCGTCTTAATTCTGCATTTACAGGGACATAAAAGAAAGAACTCTGAATAGACCTTACCTGTCAGTCATAATAACTTAATTTGGCTTCCACTACTCCAAAACCAGACGGAGGTACCAAAAGCAGTCCCTTGAAGTAGAGGTTAGATGCAGTTAGCTTCTCTACCAGTCCAAACGTCCTGTTGTTCAACTGTGATGTTTTGCCATCCTCCTGAACTCTAGCAAAAATGCAGAGTGAAGGGGAATGTGTCAGTTCTGAAACACCAAATCATTACTGAAATGCTGGAAAAAATAATAGAGGAATCCATTTCCCCTTCATCTAATCAGATTTCTTGGTACACTGATAAAGTGAAGGCTGAGCACTTACCAGTTCTGACATAGCACAGAGCTAAAGGTCTCCCCCTCTGTCACTTAAAGTGGTTGAAGGCAGGAGTTGGCACTTGATTAAAACTTACTTTTATTATTATGCTAGCAGTTTGAAGAATAAGGGAAGTGGTTCTGTTGCTTCTGAATAGTCCCCTAACGAAAGAAACGTGGACTTTAAAGTGTGGTTGGTTTTTCCTGACTTTTAAAAAAATACATTTTCTATTCCTTTTTCCTTTATGTACAAATTGGCTCTCTGTTTTATACTGGTTCATATGGTTAAGCAGCAGGAAGCAGTTTCATTGTTTGGTAACAACTTGTCTTATGCTGTCTCCTTCCCAGGATGAAGGAAAAAATACTTGCATTATAATCAGTTGACATGTTTTTACTATTTCTTTCAATACCTGTTCCTGCTACCTTAGTGCAACTTAACCAGGTTAATGTTTTGTAGTCTTGCACCCCATGCTGCATCTCATTGACATTTTGAAAAGAAACCTTCTAAAATGGCAATTCCAGAGGGCAATACTTGGGAAGCAATACTATAAGCAACAGTTTACTAGTTGTTCACTAGTTCTCCTCTGAGAATTTATTTCTAAAAATAAACATTATGCCCATAACAGCTGTGGAATCAATTTCAAGCTTTAATAAACCTAGCTCATGAAAATATTAAGTGATATATATGTTCAACTGCATATGACTTTTAGTGTAAAATTAATTTACCAAAGCAAAATGGCTTAATTTTATGTGAACTAATTCCAGGCAGCCATATCCTAGGATTTACTGAATACAGAGTTTCAACTTTTCCAGTCCCTCAGAAGATCTAAATGTCCTATTAAAATCTGTTTTGCCTTTCAGTGAGGCTACTGGCTTATATTCCATTTCAAGCTTGTATCTAACAAGAAATAAAGAGTCTTTCTTAATTTTTCTAGGGGTGCTACAGCATATTCTATTTATTTGTACTACAGCTACATGAATGAAGTCCCCAAGACAAACTGTTAGATAGTCAGGAAAAGAATATTTCGGCTGAATTTATAGTGGAGTTGGTGTTTGGGAAAGTACCAGCAGGTATGAGACTGGAGTACTGCTGGAGTGTATTTCACAGCAACAGAGCGAGGAAGTCACTGTCCCTGCTGGCACTAGATTCCCCCAGGCCTCCCACTGCCCAGGCAGGCCCCTGCCCTGGCACCCTGCTGCTTCCCCCCTGGGTTAGAGAGGAAGCAACTGCAAGGTGTGTTTTCAGTAGCACATCCTGAAGGAGGTCAGGGCTATGAAGCTGCATCCAGTTGCCTTGTACTTCGCTTGTCTGTCTTCTTGCTTCAGATCACTAAACAGTGATGTCCCTAGAGCTCCTGGAATGCCTTATTTCAGAAGTGAGAAATGCTTTTTTAAAAGCTATGAGAAGATGTTTATACAACTTGAATCCTGTATTTGCTCTTAGAACTTTTCCAGACTAACAGGCAACTCAGGTTGAGAGCACAGCTGACCTCTCTGTAAGGAAAAGGTATTAAGAATTTGAGAGAGTACTACAGGCAGAACACAAATTCAGCTCTCAGACTGACATACTTGTGAAGAATGGTGTTGGGTAAAGAGTTGCATTAGTCACTTTTCTCATAGGGAGGGCATAGAACCAGAAACCATAGTTTGTGCACAGTCTGTGGGAACCCTCTAACAGCTGAGAGCCAAAAAATAACAGTATAAGCAGCCAGGAGACGGTCACTCATTTTATTCACATATACAAATTGACACCACACTATTAAATATAGACAATACAGAAGCATTAAAAACAAGTACTATTAAAAACCTTAAAAAAAAACACACCACATATTACTTCAAGCTTAGATGCTGTTTCCCCTATATTTTTTTTAAAGTGAATCCAGTGCTAACAGGAGCTGAGGCAGCTTCCCATTCTCTTCTACCCCTAATTTTATAGGTGCTATTGTCAAGGTGTTAAGTCAGGCTCTACATATGGCTTTGCTGCTGAGTGCAGAAAGTGAAGGTAAGTTGGCACATGCAGGTTTACTGGACAGCTCCTCAGATTGCTAGCTTTTGGTCCTCATGGTTAAAGAAAAAGAGAGAGAGTCAGAGACCTTTGTAATTCAGTTGCATGTTAAAAAGTTAGAAGGGCAGATATGTTTCCCCACATAGTGAAACTTGATTAATATGCATTAATCTTTGATAGAATTATTTACCAGAAATTCAGGTCTGTTCCTAACAGTTAAGTTTGGATCTAAATTAAATATCACCCTGACTATTTCAGACTTCCAGTAAAGAAATCTGGAGTTCATAGCTGCAAAGAGTGTGACAGCATTGAGTGAACAAGCATGCTACCGTACTTCACAGGGACACTCATATGCAGTTTTCATTGCAACATTTCACATTGTAAACACTAATCTCTACAACACTACAGTTAAATTGCAGCATTACACATTGTGCAGGTCTCATTTCATTTAGCTAAGTGCTTTCAGAAACTGAAAGGAGTAAACTTTCATGAAGACTGGACAACTGTGTATTAGCCATGTTCTTACAAAGTTTTACTTGTACAACAGGTGGGACAAGTTTTCATCACTTGACTGAATTCAACAGTCTGTTGCAAGACAAGTCAGAACTTTCTTAATTGATATTGTAAACATTCACTAAGTTTTCCACTTTTGAGCAAGTTAAATTTAATGCAAAACAGGCTATTCTATCAATCTATGAAATGCAGCTACAGCTTCTGTGTTTTAAAAAAAGACTCCATCAAATTTCATGTCAAAACACAAAAGTGACTTTCCAGACTCTGGCCTGGCATATCAAATACTCTGCATACACAACTTGGAGTGATCAGGACTATACTGTTTCACGCAGTCTAAGCAAGCCTCCTAGTTTTTTTCTTTCAAAAAAGGCAAATACCAAATGTAAGAAAGCTACCTACTCAGCAGAATAATTTGCCCCTCACTTCAGGCATTATGTTTCTTAATTAAGATAGTAGCAACATAGCAATCAAGATTATTTTCAGCTATAGACCATTTGAAAAAGCGTGGCTCACATAACCCAATTACTGCCACTACTGTCTAACAATTTTTTATTTATTTATTTATTTATTGCTGGGGAACAGCTCTTATCTAGACAAGGATAAAAACGAGTATTTCCTCAGTACACAGCTGTCCAGATGGTGTTGAACATATTTCTAATGTTCTGCAGATCATGACCAAGTTGGAGACTTCTCAGGCTTGGTACCCAGTATCCAAGGCAGAAAACTGTTAAAACCTTGCAACTGAAATCTAATAGGAAATGCAGCTTATCCAAGAATGAGTACTTAAGGCAGGATTATTGGCTCACCCCATTCTCAGTGGGAACTCTAGAAACTGGCATGGAAAGTAGGGCAAGACGAGTCCCACCAAGGAACCTGCTTAATGCAACAAAATGCAGAGGGCACATAGTTCATCTGCCAGTTACACAGAGTCCACAGAGACAAAGGTGTGTATGTATGTGGTGTTCCACACAACAAGGCTGTTAGGTACTACTGAGTGCTTTGATACTGTTCAAAACTAGAGTGGATTTCTGAACTGAAACAGCATCAAAGCAGCTTAAATAGCTGCTGTAAATATGTTTTAAATAGGAAAAATTGTATACAAAGAAATAAAAATCTCATGTGGAATAAGAACATCCTGTTGGATAATTTCACCTCAGTTTGGAATGCTGTTTTGAAATTTTAGGAAGTTCTAAACTGTGCTTTGCTGAGAAGTTGGAATAGTCATTCTTCATGGATCAGACAACCATACTTTCTGAGATTTAAAAGTGCAAGATCTCTGGTAGGCATCCTGAACGTGAGCTGTTGGGATTTTTAAAGTAAGTTATATGCTTGAAAAATCAGGTTATAATTTCACAGACTCTAAAACTTCTTATTAAAGGTTTATTTAATCTTAATTTCCATCTGACTGATATAAGATTAGAAGGCAACAATACTTTGTCTTCCCACAGTTACTTGAAGATCAACAATCAGACTTCACTAAGCATTTTAACTGTCCCTGTTGCAGCAGGGGTTCTAGTCCTGCTGACTCAATGAGATTGGGTAGTGAAGCACAGGCTTCTGCTGCAGCAGTGTTAAGTGTGCTTCCTGTGAGAAAGGGTCTTGTCTGTAAAAAGCAAGCTTCAAAACTGTTAAAGCAAGGTAAACAACATATATAACAAACACAGCACATCTGAACTAAACTTGAAGTTCATAACCATAGTCACCTGCCTAAAGCTCAATTTTCAGACAAATCATTCATAGCAGATGGAGTTTAAAAAAGATCACTGTGGGTTTGACAGACAGTGTATGTAAAAGAAAGACCTACAAAGTGAAAGCATCCAAACTCCATTATGTACTCTACTGCAGGATACCATCTCCTTCCTCCCCTCGCTCTCACCCCCCCTTATTGAGGAGTTATGCACCAACCTTGAGGCAGAAGGCTAAGGCTCCTCTACTTCATCTAAATTTTATCAAAAATGGTTTAAGTTAAAAGCCTCTAATTTAGCACACTCATACAGTACCACCAAATGGAATACATATTGCAGTCTAACCCCACTGAGCATAGATAGATATTCATAATAAAAAATAGACTTCACTAAACAGAAGCCAGCCTGCTCTGATAAACCAGCATTTACATGATTAAGCACAGAATAAGTGTGACCACAAGCTCAGTACAGTGGTGCCAAGTTGATACTCATAGAACAAGCAGCTGCTTTTTGAGCAGCAGCTGTCAGATGATGATTGTCGTTATCAGTTATTCAGTGCAACAGGTACAGCAACAGCACAATAATTCTGTAGCTGTTTCTTGCTCTGAAAGTTAGTATTTTATTACAGATAACCTTGAAAGCAGCAATGAAAATTAAGAATCAGCAGATGTACTAATTTTTTTTGAAGCTTCTGTATGCAGACAATACTTGGCATTTGTCTGTCTGAAGCATCCACACCCAATAGTGCTGCTTACCACACCCACTTGCCTTTCTGTTGCCCATTTTAATATATTTATTTTGGTACAAGTATTGACTTAATAAAATAAATGCAAAGGCACCTCCATCACACCTTTCAAGTTCCCCCTCCCTTCCCTCTCCTCCTCCTATTCCCTCCCCCCAGCACCACCTCCTTGTGGTTTGGAGGACTTTAGATCTTTTAAAAGTAAGGGGCAGATTATTCACAACCAATATCAATAAAATAAGAGTTTGTTCTCATTGCCAGTATGCAAAGCCCCCCTCCCCCCTCAAAACAAGTCAATTGAAACTCATTAGAAAGATTCCCAAAAGGGGAATTGTTTAAAAATTTGGGTAGCTATATTTAAAAGCCTCTTCAAATGTTATGGCTCCAACTAGACACCCCACTGTGAGGTAGGTAGCCAAGATAAAAATACTTTAACAAATATTTTAACAGCTGGAAACTCCCTATAAAAACCTTGCATAAATGGTTTGGTTCCTTGCACCAGTGTCCTGATATGCATAACTTCTTGTGAAGATGCCCAAGTTGAATCCAAATTCACCGAGCTCTGGCCGAGTAGCATCTCATGTACTCTGTCATCCAGGGGTTATCTGGTGGGGAAGGCTTTATCCGCCAAGCTTTCTCTGCCTCTGCTGATCGTACCCGCCGCTGTGAAAGCTTCCTTTTCTCCACTTGTCTCCTGTTCTTTGCTCGTAGAGCAGATTCGTGAATCTAGAAGATCAGAGTTAGCATTACAAGCAGGAAAATGGACTAGGAACCTCACAGCAAAGTCAAGGGTCACCTCCGCTTCATCCCTACCCCCAGTGTGAAGAAACAGTTTGCTACCAAAACCCCTACCTCTGGAATTTGCATCACTATCCAAAAGTCATGTGCATTTCCATTAAATAAATGCCTCAAATTCTATTCTGCATTTTTCTGATTCTGTGCTGCTAAGTATGTAAACATTCAAAATGTTTGTCTTAATCTTACTCTGACATTCAATAACCTGCTTTCTCATCTTGCTACTGTTTAGAATTCTTAATTATCCTTCAGTACACCCAAGCAACCCTTAACAATCTAAGCTCAGTACTATGATCAGTTGTTATAGACTCCCTATAAGGCACTTAAGAGCTTCTTAATCTTCAGAACATGCCACAGAAATACATGTTTTTGTGTTAAGAAATTATATAAATTTCCTTAACTATGGTCTCAAGAGCCAACCTCTATGCTTGCTGATTTCTATCACAAGATTTTAAGATCTCCCATGTCAGATAAGAGTAACAACTTGAAAATATTCAGGAAAAGTAACCTAACCAGGCAGTAAGCAGACCTTCGTTACAGAAGCATCACTAGTGGCAGTGCTGCCTGCATGGCTGAGATAACTGGAAGTGTTTCAGAGGAGTCGTTCCATTCACTACAATCCAGAGACCTGATCTTTAGAGTTCTGTACCCTTCTTTCTAGTACAAGTAATAGTAAAAGTCTTTCAAAGCATCAGTTAATGCTCAAGTTGGACATCAACATATGTTAGGCTTCAGCAAAGCATCAGTCAGCCATTACCACCACTGACCTAAGCTTATTGATCCAGTAACAGCACCCATTACCAGGATGAGCAGCTTGTTTCAAAAGCTACAGGACCCATTCTCATTTCCTTAAGAGGAGAGCCATCCAGAAAGGAAAAAAAGACTACACTTGAAATCCCTTCCAGAACAGCCCATTGGAAGTCAGGCTTCAGATGTCTTGGGTCATAGATTCAGGTTCTGCATTACTAGTATGACAAGGACAAGATGCTGGAAAGAGTGAATCAGTGTATCTTACCAGGAGAGTTCTAGAACTGAAAAGATCAGTTTTAGCACTCCAAACTTATCATTTCTTGTTAAATAAGGAAATGACATTTTAGAACCTAATTCTTTTGTTGCCCATGGCCACGTGAATTTTACATGTGCTGTTGTGCTAATATTTACATCAGCCCTGCAGTCCATCAGACACTGACAGCCTGCTCTGCTACCAAAGCTCCCCACTGGCAACATGCTGAAACAGCCTGCTGGACAACTGAGCAGTGAAACACTGGGGCTCCTATTCCTGAAGACTGCTGCAGGAAGAGTTGCTTATTCACAGCCCAGCGCTATACCCATGTTTATCTACCTGCCTGTTTTGGGATGCTTGGTGCTAATTGCCTGCTGCTTTTCTCTTGTTCAGAATGCAGAAATACGTTTTGAACTGCCAGTTTTGCTGGTAGCACTGAAATACTCAGAAACAAGATAGCCAAGCATTAATCAGATTTTTAAAGTATTAGTAAAACGCAGAGAGTTCAAGACAAATAAACAGTTAAAAGTTACTCAGGTTGGACATGCCAAGCATCTTTAGTATTAAATGAAGTTACAGCAGTAAACCTAATGACAGTACTGTACTGTCAGACCTGTCAACAGCTGAAGTATACTTCTCTGCTTTCCTCTGCTTCTCCCTCCATACCTAACCCAAGTTCTTGACTGCCATACAAAGATGTTAACTTCAATGACAGCTGCATTAGCAAGGACTACAGATCACAGCTCTAACCCTGAAGCACACTCTACTAGAAAATGCTGATACCTGCTGTGACCAGTATGAATGCACATGTATGGGAACTGCTGAGTCACGGCCTGAACCTCTGATTGATCACCTGAGGCGAGCCATGGGTCAGCCAGAGGAGCACAGCTGAAGGCAATTCACCTGTGCTGCAGGAAGGGGTGCAGCCAGGCTTCACCCCTCCTTGACCTATTTAAGAGCTGGCTACCAGTGGGGAAGGATCTCATCTGGAGACCACCAATACTGGTGTTTTGTAAGTGAGCCCAGGATACAGGTAAGCTTTCTATCTATCCTCTTATCATTATCTGCTTTGCCAAACTCTCTAGTTTATTTCATAATTATAACATCTTAATATTCATTGATTATACAGCACATAACCAGTACTCAACCTAGAAGTGGCATCAATCACCTTTCATCCCATACCTGTCCTTTTCTCATGGCACTGTTTATCACAGCTGTGGGCAGATGTGTTCCTGCCTGATGAAACCTCCATTTCCTAGAGGTAGAAGGGTTCTATGCATCCTAGAAGTTCTGTGCATTCAGTCCTCCATTGTATTCTTGTACCTACAGGCCTTTAATGTGGCAACTACTATTTCATTTTGATGAGGAGAAAGGAAAGCCATTTCTGTTTCTTCAAAACATCTTATTTGCTGTTTTTTCCAAGAAAACGCTCTGTTACAGACCCAACTGGATATGATGGAAAACTGCCCATCCCTGGGAAACCCTTCGGAAGATTCTGCAGCACCCCGAACTAGGCATGCAGACATGGGTTTTGATACTTTGAAGGCCTTTTCACACATGAAAACACCACAGCCTAGAAGGGCTATCTGAAGGAATTCATGTACAGTCTCAATCACAACTAAACCTGTAACAATGACACCAGTTCAAAGGAACTGAGTGGAATAAGCCCCTAACTTCATTCTGGCACAAGTGCAAGCTAGTATTTGTAAGACACTATCACTACAGCAAAACAGAGGCTGCTGAAAGTCTTTACAGTTCCCCACACGATCACAAATAAAAGAACCTCTGAAAAGTTTTTATCTAGATATTAGCAATGTCTTTTCCAGGCACTAAGTCAGTTCTCTCACTTAAAAAGCAGCTTTTACTTACTTCATTCACTGAAGCAGAAGCACAGACATTGTGAGTTTTCTGGCTTCCAGTATCTGTCTGTCTTTCTCCCCACCCATAGAGAGCAAATGGATGTTTATTCTCCTTTGGTCCATCTGTCTTTTGAGGACTTCTGGTTGATCTTCGATCATTACGACTGGACAAGGCACTTTGGCTTGGACGTCGTCCTGTACGGCTGGTTTTATCTGCATCCTTCGTGGAAGTTTTATCTGCTTCCTTTGTGGAAGTATGTTCTACAGTTTTGTCTTGCTCTTCTTTCTGATGCTTTTCTTGATCTTGTCTTTCTTTTTCTTTTTCTGAAAAAAAATTAAGTTCTGCTTTAAGTTTCAATGACAACATGATATTGTTTAATCTGCACCGCCCCTCTCAGTGCAGATCTCAAGATCTCTCAAGAAAACTGCTTTTTTTTTTTTTTTAAGAAGTCATTAATTCCTTAGCATTAGAGGCATGCCTTGCTTAAATGCTTTCACTCTTTAGCAACCAGTATTTTCAAGCCTGTCCCTCAATACATCAGCTGCCACATTTAAACACACCTTTCACTAGTGAGGCTACAGATGCCTAATAGCTCCAAGTAGTGCTGTACATGCAGTAAGATTGTTTCCAGTGCTCTCCTGTCTTCACTGTTTCATCCTTCTATCTTTCAGACAGCAAGCAGATGGACTGCTAAGTAGCAGGTAGATGCTGCCAGCCAGAGAATAATCTTTCATACTATAAGCTTTGACTGAAAGAAGTGATTCCTTTTCAAACTCCCTGATTATTCATACAGGCATCGATTGTTTGCGTGCAGAGGAAAGAGGAGTATGATGCCACTGGTTATGGAAAGATTCCTACACTGGTGTTGAATGAAATAATCTAGTTTAAGGCTTGCTTGCATATTGCAGTGTTGACCACAGACAATAACAAATTTTACTTAAGTACTGTCATTAAAAGCAGAAGGACTTGCCCATCTGTATGACACAACAAGGATCATTCATGCTAATTGCTTTGATTTAGCAAATCGCCTTCATGCATGAGCAATCTGACACTGCTTTAGTTTCATTACAGCATCCAGCCAGCTTTGCCAGAACAGACATAACCTACCTAGCACACTGATTACCAATCCAGTATTGCTTTTGATCCTTGCAGCACAGAGGTATTCCCTTGCAAAAGCTTATTACCCACAAGTTTCTCTATGCTGCCACTCCTAAGAGGGGACTGGTTTGGTCCTCCTTCTGCATATCACACCACTGGTTTGAGCACTGCAGTGATATTTCAGAAAGACACTGAAGGAAGGCATATTGTTGTTGAATCTGATAAGAGTGCTTTTGTTTTAGTATGTCAAATCTTGCCTTCAAGGAAAAACCTTCCATGTCTACAGCAGAACAGAGATGGCATTTAAAGCCTTCAAATTAAAGAAAAGAGGGGAATCTCCATGATTGCATTGGGAGCATAGCTTTAAGTTATTACTTCAAGGCAACAGACAAGCCTGGATACAGCTCGCTCAGATACAGTCCCAGCTGGTGCAGAAATGATGAAGCCAACTTGTCCCAAAATAGCTATAAAAGCATATGACTAAGTGGCATGCAGAATCTTGCACAGTCTTGCAGTAAATGCTGTATACCAGAGTATACTTTGGCATCTTACGTGCACCTGCTATTACAGCAGGTATTTTAATGAGCTCACTCCCACAGTTCACATATATAAAACTCAGAAGGTACAAGGTGGATGCTTTAAATTACAATTTATATCCAAGCTATTTTGCTAGGCACTCCTTGCAGCAAGGAGAAAAGCAGCAGTTATAGCAAGGGAGGAACCAAACCCAGCTACTCAGGAAGCCCAACTGTCAGCAAAATCTATCTCCTTCCCCCATAGTGTGCCAGCTCAGGCAGGCACTGCTAAATGCATGCTGCGAATAGAACAGGAAACTCAACTGACTTGCTGGGGCATTACAGGGATTAGCCAGCATAGGGAAAAAGCTAGGAACATTTAAAAACCGCATCATGGATGCTAAACAGAGCACACTGGACAGGAGGGGATTAAGTGCTTAGCAGCAGAACCAGGCTGCCAGGCCCACCCAACACAGCAGTAGAAAGCTCCTGCCCAGAAGAGGTCACTTGAGTCCTCCTGCATCACCCAACTTACATAACAGCTCCTCTCCAGTGGCCTGAAGAGGAGCTGATGGTGCTTTCTCCCCCTTCTAAAGCTGTGCATGCTCTACCAGGCTGATGAGACCTCCAAGGCAAAGGCTCTGCTGACTTGCTGGAGGTACCAACCTTCTGGTCAGATACACAAGTCTGAGAGGTCAGCGCTACTATCCTTACATAGAAGTGTTTGCCCCTTACTACCTCAGGTTTGGAAGCATTTTGTAACAAAGCAGGAAACACTGGGTCACCTTGACTGCTCCCAGTCATCTCGAGAGCTACCCTGTTCAAACACACCAGCTCCAAGAACAGGTACCAAACAAGCAGTCTCCTACACACCATGACAGCTTAAGCAGGTCCCAACTGCGCAGGTCTTCAAGGCCTGAAGAGGGGCACTAACTGACTACAGCTGGGCAGAAAATAGTTACTATTTACTACAGCTGAAACAGGCTGCAGCAGCATTGCTTCAAGATCAGTCTCATGTGAGGCACTGGCACAATATCTGAGTGACCAGCAACACAGCAGTTGAGTTGATTAGATTCACCAGCTGAAGAAAGTTGTACATAGCTTGACGTGACAGCAAAACTTGTTTCAACCCAAAAGACACTGAAGTATCCTTGAATCACTGTAAATTCCTGAACTGACACTGTTAGTCTTTTTCTCCACCATCAGCCACCACCCCCTGGGCAGCTGGGTCAGCAAGCATTCCTACAGCATCATGACAGATCAGGGAACAAGTTTGAGACTGGGTCTTCTACCCAGATGCACTAATCCAGTCTATTGTGTGGCAACTGTTTTGACACAAAGTTGTCACTGCTGTCATTTAAAACTTCTGTATAAAGTGCTATGAAGGCAAAAGTCATAATAAGGCTGGAAAGATCACCTAATCCTGGTTGTGTGTGCAACAGTATCATTTCACAAGGAGCAGGTTTGCTTGCAGTACTGCTGCCAAGAGCTCCTGTCATTCACTTACCAGACCATGGGGTTGACAGCTTTGAGTATGTGTCAACTAGACCAGTTGATTTCGGTCAGGATTTTACTGGATCATGTCCAGGCCCAAATGTATTCTACAGAGCAGTCCCATCCCATCCCCCCCCCAGGTGTGAAGAGCAAGAAGGAATTGAGCCAAAGTTGCCATTCAGTGTGCACCTTAATATCTTTCAGATACAGCAAGGAAAGGCAATCATCCTATTTGCCATCTAAGGAGTTCATAATAATGGTTAAAACCCCTGGTAATAATTTAGAGCAACATCACTAAGCCTTGAAGTTAAGCTGCAAAATAATAAAACCAGCTTTGTATATGGATAACAGAAGCTTTCAAGAACTGCTGTCAGTGCTCTTTCACAGGTCAGAAAAAAACAAAAAAAAAAAAACCAAAAAAAAAAAAACACCAAACAAACAGGTAATTGTTTCTTGAAGAAAAACACTGCATGTGTGATTTCAGTAATATTACTGCTGGCCAAGCACACTCCACCACAAACTCTTAGCAGAAATCTGGTTCCCTCCAGGAGAGAGAGAAGCATCAGTAGCCAGGTAACAACCCAACCAGGATGCTGCAGCATGTGGGTGGGTGTCAGATTCAGAAGACAAAAAACATCACTGACATTAACACACTCACTGCTCCCACAGCATTTCAGTGTAATTAAGTCCTTTCAGGAAAAAAAGCAGTCTAATAATGAAAGATTCATGGGGTGGTGGTTTGTATGTTATATCCTTTGTGCTTTTTAATTATGAAGTCACTGAACAAAAGGAAATAGCACCTTCATAATTGCTTAATACCGAGTCGCTTGCTTTCTGATTGTACAGTAAGCTGTCCATGAGTATACAATAAATTTCTACTTAATCCAGCTGCTAAAGCTGAATTGCTTTTAGATCTTCTGCTAAAGCTTTTAAAATGCCTGCAGAAAGTCACTCTGCAAAGACATGAAGATCAGATACAGGTTTTTCCCTCCCATAGTAAATGGGAAGAACCTCAGAAAGACTCAGGTAGTCTCTTACAGCAGCCACGAACCTTACTACTGCTGCCTAAAGCCTCCGCGTTGCTCAGGTCAGTACTGCTGGCTAGGATAAGCAAAGGTGAAGAGACATCCACACGTGCCAGAACCAGTCCACACACACCATTACTGACTACAGAATATGCTTATATGAGCATATCTGCAACTAACAACTTCTTACGTGCAGCTAAAGCAGACCTCAATGGAATCAAGCTACCAAGGAACTCCGGCCTGGTCTCATCCCAGTGAGCTGCTGCCATCACTGCATGGCTCTGGAGGGATGGAGTGTTTTACCCTGGCAGCCAGCATCTGTGTGTACCTCAGCTCCTTCAACTCAAATAGACCTTGTTCTTAAGAGCATCCCTAACCACTCCTGTCATCTTGGCATTTTCTCCCAACACTGAGGAGCTGTGTGTCAGCTCAACAGCATTTTAGCAGGCATATGACAGCCGGGTGGCACACAGGCCCACGCTGCTGTGAGGACTGCATCTCTACACTCACTCAGGGTTACTGACTCACTGCAAAACCAAGACCACAGAGCTCGAGTATCAGCAGGAACCCAGTGTTCAGCAAAGACAAAAGAATGTCACACGCAGGTCCAGGGAAGCAGTAACATTATGTGCCAGTCACTGGCACACAGCCTAGCTTGGTGCTGCCGCTTTCGCCAGAGAACCCGCTTATATAATTGCAGGGATGCTCTGCTCCCATGGCAACCGTTTACATAAGCGGCTGTGAGTCAGGATGAGTTACCACAACGCTCTTCTTTAAAGGGACGCCCAGCTTCTCAGCGTTGCGGGTCCCTGAGGTTCCACAGCCGCAGCTCACAGATAGGCTTCTCCCTGAGAAGCTCCCGGCCCAGATTTCTCTACAGCACACAGAGCAGGACGCGCAATACTCTCGCCCTATTCGCTGCACGCGGAACCCCAAGCAGCTCGCCCACACTGCGGCACCACCAGGGCCGGGCCTCCCCCGCCAGCCACGGCCACGCACCTGACCCGGCCGCGCCTTCCCAAGGAGGCACACAGCCACAGCCATCCCCGCCATCCCCTCGCTCCTACCGGGGCCGGCCCGTCCCGCCTCCGCCGCTTCCTCCTCCTGCGCGGGCGGAGGGCTGCCCGCTCCCGGCGGCGAGGGAGACCCGGCGGTGCTGCTGCCGCTGCCGCCGACGCTGTCCTGCTCCCAGCCGTCCCACAGCCAGGGCCGGTGCGCCTGCTCCAGGAGGCGGCGGCTGAGGCGGTAGCGCAGCAGTTCCAGGTAGCAGGCGCCGCACGACTCCCACTTGGGCTCCTTGAAGCGCTTCATGTACTCCGTCTTCACGCGCCGCGCCGGCACCACCATGGCGGGGCCGGGAGGGGAACGGGAGCGGAACAGACACGGAACGGCGCGTAGCGCTGCGCCGCAGGCCGAGCCCGCCCCTCCCGCTGCAACGTTTAAATCCAAACAGCGGCGCCCGGCCCCGCCCCTCCGGCCGCGCCAATCGCGGCGCGACGCCGCCGACACCCCCCGGAGCCTCCTCGCGTCTCCTGGCGACAGCGCCACCCAGTGGCGGGGTGTGCGCCGGGCCGGGCAGTGAGATTGAACGGCGCCCTGCTCCGACACAGGGGGGCACTGATGGCTTTCAGGAGCGCGGCGGGAGGCTCTCCTACTTTTAGGCAGCGGGCAAACGTCGTTCTTCTCTCGCCTTGCTACGATGAAGGCCGGCTCACCCGAACCAGCGTAAATGAGATCGCTGGAGCCGGCAGAGACACCGAGATAAACAATCCTCTCGCCGATCCATCCGTGCCGCCGTGGCGCAGGCAAACCACACGGCTTCCCGTTTAACACGTGTCCGTCACCCCCCGGGCTCTGGTGGCCGCCCGCTGTGTCGCTGCCACCCACAGCCGCCGCCCAGCTGTGCCCTCGCCCAGTTGCGGGGCTGACGCGGCCGCCTGGGCCAGGGAGGAGCACAGCTTGCTCCCCAGTAAACCAGGGATGTATGGGCAGATGACATTTATGGCATATGACAGGTCTGGGTTCGCAGCATCTGCCTTCTGTCCAGAAGCGGTAATTGTGTGCTCAATGGCATTCTGAACCACCCTGCAAAGCACTGGCTGGGCAGCTGGGATTGTGAGCTGGCTCCTGGAGCACCGGCTCCTCTCCCTCTCCTCCTGTGCGCTGCCTCTCCTCAGGGAAACAACCCTCTGCGGAGGCAGACGTGGCCATACACAGGGAGCACAGGCACCCGAGTGCCCACAGATCTCACAGCCATTAACTCATGCTTCAGCCTTCACATAGGGACACCAGAACCACAACAGCAGGCCGGCTCGCTGCCAGCTCCACCTTCAGCATTTTCACTCAGGGCAGGCCACAGGACGTCAGGACTTTGCAAACAGCACCTGATTGCTGTTATGAGCCCTCACCTTCTTTGTGCCAGCCTTTTTGAGGGCCATTTTCCCTCGCTGCCATGAAAGCGAGCGCCCAGCTGTCCATACACTCCAGTTTGTCCTGGATCTCTTGCAATACATCCCCCAGTGATGGGCAGATTGGCAGCAGGCACGCTTGAGAACTAACTAGGGACAGTTTGTGTAAAAGGCCTGCCACAGAAGCCTGTGGAGACACCCAGCTGTGCCTATCCTATGCCAACAGCCACACCTTACCCACGCACGTTCCTCATGGGCCTCCACAGCCTTCCCTAAGGAGTTATGGGACAGGGCCCCTAAGGCCAGTCAGCGGGGTCCAACATGCCTCAGGCCAGCCATCACCCCTACCCAGCCCTGAGGTGTTGTTTGCGGCTCTGGGGGAGGACATTGAGCTAGATGACAGAGATTAAAGGCAACTCCTGTGAGAGCCTCTTAGCACAGCTCCATGCACACACGCAGGGATTGCTCCAGCTCCTCAGCACAGCAGCTCTGGATGTGCTCAGCGTAGCTATGTAAACATTTATTTCTTTAATCCTAATGAGTTTTGGCTTCAGTGCCTCATGGCAGAGATCTACATACACAGGCTGAGAGTAGCCGGTTATTAAGTAGCTTCAGCTCCACAGATGCCTGAATGAAGAACTACAGTATTTATAAGAATTTCCTCCCTCACATATTTTGCTGTTGTTTTCCTTCATTAAAAATCTGGAGACATCATTTGAACATGAACATGAATTCTAAACATGCTTTTCACTTTTAAAGGCCTTTTCCCAGGAGGGCCTTAGTTCTGCCTCTAGTCCCCATCATTGGCTTCTTGCAGGTGGCAGGCCAGGTGAGTCAGGAGCTCCACATGCTGATGGCAGAGCTGGCATCAGACCCCACAGCCCAGCCTTCCTCCATGCTCTGTAGCAGCAGGTGCTAGAGGAGGATCAGTGGACTTGCCCGTATCTTCTCCTTTTTACAGTTATCAGCCATTTTTTCCCACTTTTCTGCTCCTCAAGCACTACAGTGCTGTACATCATTGCTTCCAGGTCAAGGAGGTCCCTGCAAGAAACAGACCTTAGAGCCAGAAGCAGGGCGATGGCCAGGGTGCCAGCCCCAGCAGCACCCCAGCAGTCTGCCCACTGAGCCTGACACAACCTAGGCCTTCACCCAGCCAGGAGAGAGGCAGGGCAAGCAGGAGAGACTTCCCACCTGCCCACCTTCCTCCTCCCCACAGAGAGTCCTGCTGGGGAGGTGCAGAGGGCATGCAGCCATGGTTTGGTGAGCAGCGTCCCTAATATGGCCTCGGCTGCGCTGACTGGCTGGGGGCTCCTGCTGCAGGAATGCAGCCCTGTATAAAAGCCCCCAGGAAGGCAAACCATGCTGGGTGCTAGCAGGGAAAGAGCAAGACTGGCTCAATATGGGAATAGTGCCTGCCTCCTGGAGGCTGTCCAGGCTCTCTTGGGTTTCAGGCAGCATGCAGTGGCTGGGTACAACCAACAGTGACTGGGATGCAGTGGATACTGGCAGAGAGAGCCCATCTTCATGCAGCTTTACTTTTGGGGGTTACCTTCTAACACCCAGCCCTTGTCCTGAGCTCCCTGCCCTGCTCCAGCTGCAGAAGCAGCAGGGCATGCTCCAGTACAGCTGCACCAGCTGCATAGCCATGACCTGCTCATACTGCTGCTTTCCTCAAACTTCACTCTTTTATATCTCCCAGCTTTGTTCTAGTTCCAGTTCTTGTCTTCCTCCATTCCTTCCACTCAGAGGGAAAGAAGCCCTTTGCCCTTGTCTCCCCAAGGTGAGCATTCAAGAAAGGAGCTTTGTCCCCTTTCATGTGGTGGGGAAGGGGCTCTTTGAATTTGCTGCTCTCCTCATTTTCCATACCCAAGTGACTCACCTGTCCCTGCCCCAAAACACAGAGCAGTGCAACCTTGTCAGCCCCTTCCTTCAGCAACCACAGCTTCTCCCCTCCACTGCAGGATCCACAAAGGCTTTACTTGTCTTTTCATTTTTCTGCCTTCACCCAAATGCTGTCCACATGTTACAATCATTCCCTTATCCCACCCACATCTCAAACAGCCCAAGAAGCTGTAAGTCTGGGCCCAGCTGCTCTGCTCTGCTGCTCTCCAGAGTGCATGCACGGCTCCTCCTGCAAAGGACACGCTCCTGAGGACACCCCAGATGCTCAGAGTAATGCCCGAGCCAGGGACCTGCTGGAACACCCACACCAAAATGGGTGACACCACTTAGCAGGGATGACACAAAGAAGTCTGCTCAGATGGTGCTCTTCTGAACAAAGCTTCCCTGCACTGGAGCATGAAAAGAAAAAAAGAGAAAAAAAAAAAGGCAAAGAAGCAAAAATGGTTTACTCATTCCAGAGAGCAAGTCTCTGCCTTGCTGAGAAACACTCAGTCATTTGCTGCTGACTGCACAGCAGTGGCAGAGAGAGCCATAAACGTGCTGGTAAACATGTTGTAGCTCCCAGTTTAGAACAAGGCACATAGATGGCAAATGTACTTCTGGTGAAATAATTCTGTGGAGGGGAGCTAGCCCAGATAGCAGGAGTTAAAAAGTGCCTTGAACAAAACATCAGAATGCCACCAATGCATTTTCTCAGGTCTCACAGAGGATTATTAGAATGGAAATGCATGAAAAGCATGGCACACCTCTAAAAGGACATGAAACAGCCACCGGTGGGGTGGGGTTTATTTTTAACCCCCTGGGGTTTGCAGATGTGTAAGTTCCATCTGTACAGGTTTCTGCCGCTAGCACGAGGCACGTAATCGGCCACTTGGCTTCAGGCTGGAAAATGTCAGTGTAGCTGGGGTTAACTTATCCTCCAGATAGGAGGGGGATTAAAGTCTTAGGCTGCCTCTTCCTTTGGCTTCCTAGCAATCTCAGCCAGCAGCCTGAATGCACACACGTGCTAAGCACTGCCAACCGCACACCAGCTTTGCAGCTTTGGCCGAGTGTGGCCAAGCTCTCCGGCTCCAAGCTGTGCCAGCAGGATGGGATGGGATGAAGCCACCAGCAGCCAACTCTGGGCTCAGCGTTTGATTGGAGATTTCCAGTTGGCTCCTAAAGGCTTCGTAGGAGGAAGCTGCTGCTCAGCAATCCAAAGTGCCTGTTTTTAGTACCAAAAAGCAAATGTTACTAAGAGTTTCCCAGGTCTCTCCAGCTTAAATGTTTCTCTCCGCACACCTGTTGGTCCTTCCCAGTGCTCTCCATCCTAAAATTCACCAGTACAGTAGCCTCCTTCCAAGGATGGACACAAAAAGGGCAGCCACTCACACACAGCATCTCCAGACACAACAGCACTCTTAGAAAAAGTACATTTCAAACACGCAGTCATCTGGGTTGGTGCCAGGATTGTGTTTTTCAGAGGAAGGGGACCAAGCACAATTGTGTGCCCAATGAAAGAAGTCCATGTTTTAAGAAAACATCCATTGGAGAATCACAGATCATCTCCAGGATAGATCTGGCAAATGGGCATCCTTGAAAAAAAATGAACACCACTTGTAAGTGCCTCCTTAGAGAGTGCTGACATCTCTGTTTATTGTTTATAATGGATTATCTCCTCGGCACAGGCAACCTGTTGGCTCCACAGAGTGTTCTCAAGCTAACTTTCACCTCCTGAGCTTGCTGGTTTTTATCCAGCCCAGGCTGCCAGCACACCAAACCCTGTGCAGACTGTGCTCTGTATACAGGACCCACTGCTCCCAAAAGCTCTGTGGACAAAGCTGAATGAACGCTCTACACTTTGCCTTGCTCTGCTGTAAAATCCTTCCTGTGAAGTCCTTCAGCAATGAATGTTCACCAAAAAGCTCTAAGCTCCAGATGACACTCTGAAGGTCTCTTGTTTACCAGTGTAAACCTTCTGTTGTGCAGAAGGTCACCACTGAGAGGTAGCCAACAGGGGAAAAGGTGGTCATGCAGTCATCCAAAACAATCTTAAAGAGCTCCTTAAATGTATCTGCCCTTTACCCTGGGAGGGGAGGCAAGCAGGACAGGTCAGGATTCTCCCTCTGCATCCTGG